AGGATTTCTGAATTAAATCTTCAAATGGAAGTACAACAATTATGCTGCGAGTTGGTTTCGCAACAATTTTGTTTAAGTGAGTACACAAATATTCATGTGTGTACCAAAGGCGGTTCGTGCGTCTGTCGTAGAAGTCTACAAACATTGTTACTTCGATTTATGGACAAATTTTACCACATTCTAGAAAAATTGCAGTTTTCCCAACATAATGTTCACATTTCTTGTCGTGATAGTCAAGCCAAATTTACTTTCAAATGTGGACAGTTATATAGGACAGATAAGAAGATCCTTTGAAGAAAGAGCAGATGAACACTTTAACAAATATATCCTGAAAAATTAACGAACTACTTATGCAGAACATCTTATAATGGGAAACACGTATTTGATAAAATGTTTGAAAAGTCAAAACTGAAATATTAGAAATTAATAAAATGTAATTTTAAGCGCGATAGGCACATATTAGACTGCACATTTAAGCCTAAACTTCTAAACATCAGTTGTTTTCTACTCCGAAAATTATACTTACATAAGCAAAATCATTAATTATTATAGTTACAAGACAAATTGAATTTCATTATCCTTTGAATATTTCAAAGTATTTTTTACGTTTGTATAATGGAGATTTAAAAATTAAGCGTATTTTAATTTGTAGATGTTATGTATTACGAAATATTATGTATAAAAGAAATTATGAATGCTGTCAGCATAGCGCAAAATAGTGTTACGTAGTTAGTATCAGCAATTCCTTACGCTGAAGTGTACGATGTGTTGCATACCTATTTCCAAACAATTCATTTAATTCAATTGTTTTAACAGTTTCGAGCTCACAGTGACTTATAAGGGGGAAGAACCATTTAATATAAAAAAAATACTTGCTACTTCCTAACAAATATTTTATTACAGAATGTAAGCCTCCTATGTGACTTTTTGTAATACCCGCTACTGATGTAGGTACTCATATGGTACATTACATGTAGGTATGTATGCATTACCCACATTTCTAGCGCTTTTGACACAAATTCAGACATGCGTCAGATTTCGGATAAACTCTTTTAACAACAATAATGAAACTTGCAGAGAAAAAAAAAGCTATTCAATAGATCTACTCTGAAGTGTAACATAAAAAGCACAATCAATCGATAAATTACACGCACAAATTGGCCGCTAAGCGATCGAAAAGTACCTACTAGTAGCAGCACAATCTTGATCGAACCAAACAACAAATTTCACTTTTGTTTTTTATCATATCGATCGCTGTTACGTTAGCAGGTGAACAGAAAGTTCAATAATACACATACAACAATAATAATATTACAGTTCAATGAACGACTACTTGACTATTATAAATTGCTAGGTAGCTATTCTATTTATCATTAATACTATGAAGAGAATGTGAATGATATGTGGAAGAATGGAAGAAAGTTAAAAAAAATCAATGAAACAAAACAGACTGATTTAGGACACGCAAGAAAAAAAACGATCAAGTACCTTACTCATATAAAAATGACATTCCTTACTCTAAACGCCGTCAGCTGTCCAATTGTTTTTAATCATTAAAAAGGTTCAAAACACTGAAACAAATTGGTAATGCCATAAACGTTGCTTTTAGAAGTCAGCTTGATTGATTTGCCTTAAATCCTAACTCCTTCCAACGAAAAGTCAATTCTTTATAAAAAAGGACTCGCATAAAAATCGAAACTACTCAAAGTTTTAGAAAATTAAATCTAAAATAATTACCATTTTTTAATAGAAAATCAAATGCGACTTCAAAACCCAAACTAAAAATTTTAAAATAGTAAATACAAATATCATCCCCTAATTATCTCAAACTTAAATGGAACCACTCTTGAGATATAATTATTTACTCAATAAAAAACGATTCAGTAAATTACAATCGGCGAACACAAATTAGTGTTATAAAAACATTTGGCATTCAGAAATGTAGTTTTCCTTTTTGTTTAAACTCAATGTCATCAACAACCAGCAACTAATATTGTTTATTCTACTGATCAAAATGAATAAATAATGGATTTCCCAAACTTGCTGCTTTGTCTATAATGTTTAATTTAGAATTGCTACTTCTTGTCTATACAATAAAGCATTGTGTTTTAACAGTGGCTAGGTTTATCCTCAATAATTCCACTTAGCAAAACTCTGCTTTCTTTCCAATCTCTGGCATCTACTCAAAACATGATGCATCAACGCTTCATCCCTCCTTTCACATTTTTTACATAATCTTTCATCATCTTCGACTTTCACTCTAAATCTTGCCACCACATATTTGTATTTCTTACCTTGATCTTGTTAAGGGCAATTTAAAAAACAAAAGGAAAGATATAAGATAAGATAAGAAGGGTATAAGTTCGTGAAATAGTTTCTTTTTGTGTTTTTGTTTTTTGAAGTTAAGGATAAAAAGGAAGTATTTTAACGTTTGTGGCGCTGCAAATGGAAAGTAAAATTTCACTTGATGAAAATCGATATCAAAATAAGCGCGTGAAAATAAGTTTATTTTTTATCTTAAAATTTAGTTATTTAGAATGGACTTGTAACAAATGAACGCCTTTAAACGCTCTTAAATTATTTATTTATCGCATATAACTTAATACCTAAGACGAAAGATTGTTAAGCGGTCAGAGTTTTGACTTGTTTTTGAATTAAAGACAAACCGACTGACTGACTTTTAGAGTAGAAAAAGTTGATCTGAAATATGATTGCAAATACCGATGCACTGAAACTGAATTGAAAATAATAGAATCTAGAAACGTTCCATGGGAAAGTTGTTACCATAATTTACTTAAGAACAACGAAACAGATTACTAAAGCACTTATTAACTTTTGATAATTGTAATTGTTTGCGTCGGCAGCGGACACTTTTTGATCTAATGCATGTGTTTACCAATATTCAGGCAATTGCATCGAAATCATAAAATTACAGATAACAAATTAAACATTGATACAATTCCTGAATACACCACAAATAAGATTAATATAAAGTTATGGTAAATTACACGAGTAAGCTACAATTAGACATAAGTTACAGGAAAATTACACGTACATACTAGTTATACTGAAAGTCATCATCATCATAAGGTCCTTAGTCCTAAGACTGGTTGGACACGCACCTAAACTCTTTCCTATCCTGAGCTAATCTTCCCATTGTCCCTAAAACTAGAACAACCTACATCCTTAACTATTTGCGAAGAGTATTCTAATGTAGGTCTACCTCTACCCCTCCTAACTCCTGTTTCTGCCTCTAATATGTCTCTGACTAGACCTTCATGCCTGAGAACGTGTCCTATCAACCTATCTCGCCTATTTTTTATTGACTTCCTCTGTTCTCCTATTCAGAAATTTTGATTTTCTATTTATAACTCTGAATGTTAGTAAAGTAACAATTACAATTCATACGGTTATAATTTTAAGGTTCCTGGTTAGTTAAAGCTATTTTGTCTTCCTTAAACAGGAGGTACCTATTCGAAATTAGTTTCTTCATAATTGGTAGACAAGTAATTAAGATTTGAATAGTTTCAAGCACAGTAAAAGGCTAAAGAACAAAGGACTAGTAAATATTATACGGCCGTCTGAATATTAACAATCTTATTTATGATTTTCATTCATACGTAACAGTTGGTCTGAAAGTACTTTAAATATATCGACCGTGGCCTAAAATAGTAATATCCAATAAAATTTTATTTGTGACAGTATTGATTACAATGGGAATTAGCCGAGACTTCTCCAGAACAATGGGTACCATACGGAAATAGCACTATGTGCAAAAGTTTTATTTACCTAGTTATGTATTACAAATTTCCTGTAAGCGGTGCGATGAACTGAAATGTTTGTTTTTAACTCAAATGCATGTGGCAATGTTTAGAGCATCTAGCCACATTTCAGTTATATTTTGCTTTGTTCGATGAAAAATCCTTTTTCAAATGTATGGAAAACAATATAAAGTTAATTCGTAGATAAAAGACAAAAACCGAATTTAAGATTATACCTACTTAAGCTGAAAAGTAGAAAATAATATTTTAATTACTTCAAAGCAAAGTGCAATACAGAACAATAGACAAAATCATTGATAATTGTATACATTTACAATTTATAATCAGTTATTTTTGGAGTCGGTGCCAGTCCAGGGGGATTATGTCTTTGCAACAAACTTTCCTTCCGATTTCGTTTATCTAATCTCTGCTTTCGCATTCACATGTTAATAGAATAATCAAGTAGGTATCTATAGCATTGGCTGTAACGTTTAGGGGATGAAAAAGGGTAAATTAGTACATAACGAGGGACGAAGGAGGGGAAGGCAAAAAACTGAGTCCTGCGATACTTGAACGACTCCTTATGAGGAAATAGTTCAAATAATATGTATCGATTTCCATTGAATATTAGTTCAATAAGTACCTATACACAAAAATTCGGAAATTCATCAATGAAAAAAATGTAGTTCACATGCAATTTCAGAGTGTTTTGAGGAATTTTGGTTAGTTCGGCCAGATACTTATAGGGTGGTGTTTGACAAAACATCCAAAAGAATTACTACTTTTTATTTTTATCCGTATGGAACTGTAGATTTTAATTTGTATAATCTACTTTCACTACAAACGATCTCGCCTGTGATGCTTGTTTTACTTAAACGCAACACAATCACATTTGCAAGCATCCTTATTGATGCAGCATCTTGGTAAATGGCACTCATTTCATAAATATTCAAGTCAAGGAAGGTAATAATGCACGCCGATCTAGGCAATGCATCAGAAACAAACCGTTCCTACCCAGTGGATATTATCGGCATCATGAAGACGATGAAGATGGGCTTACTTGTGGAGGCAGAGGCAGCCAGAGCACCATCAATTCGCTCCTTCGCGTGCTTGGTACCAGCGAAATGCATCGCAAGGTGACCATTTACGTTGGTATAGGATAGGTAAATGGAGAAGGTACCGATGTAACAGAGTAGGGGGCACGTTGGGGGGCAACCATGGCAGCAGCTACAAGGCGACCGTTTCGCCGTCAATCCTGCCAGTTACTTTCTACAAACGACTGCAACAAGTTCTGGTCAAATAAAGCTTCTGTCCTATATTATATTATTATTATTGAACAGGGGATACCTGAAGATCATTTCCGTAGGTCGAAAAATATATCTGGAGAAAGCAACTCATTGTAGTGTCGTTTGTTTTATCGCGTTTCTGGGCAATAGTACAGTGCACGACCCCGTGCATCATCACTGATACACAACTGGAGCGCTACATCAACGCAGGTATGGAGAAGGAGCAGCAGGCAGAGTCTCTGAACGCCATCCCCATTAAGCCAGAGTATCCACCCTCAGAGCTTTATGGTTCCGAAGCTCCACCGGTAAGTCCCAAATATTATATTATTTTCATCACTGTACATTTCTCGAGTTAAAGAATTTGTAATAGAAAAAAAATTAGCGAAAGCTTTCTCTCTTTGTAATAATTTACTATTTTCTTTAATTGCCAGTATTCTTAAGAAAAAAGATTCTGTTTTCAATTCCAAAATCCTTAATGAGATATCTGCCATCCTGTCCTTTACATTTTTTGTCCTTTAATGGAAAGCTTTCGGGAAATTTGAAAAGCGAGACCTGACAACTAGGTTGGTTTCGTAATTATTCTAGAATAATCTTGTTTCAATGCAATCGAGAGAAATAGGTTCGTGGGCACAAGCTTTCACTCAACCGTGGAGATAATTGCAGCGTGTAGTAATTTCCTTTTTATTTTTGTCATATTTATTGTTTCCCGCGGAACAATTAGAGCTTTTCACACCTTTCCGTAACAATCAGAAAAACGGTATCCTGCCAATAACTGTTAGCAACTTTTTCTTTGTATGCTTGTTATTGTTTTTGTTTGCGTGTAGTGTACAATTTGCACATGTATGTATATTTGTTTTTCTCTGCTACGCTGTTTTGAATACATCTGACCAATTTGCATTTTTATTATTATACTGACCCGGTAAGCTCTGCTGCTATTGCGTTTACGTCTCCGCAAAACCTTCCATTCAAGGTGATCAACTGTTCCGGATTTTGAAATGAAAAACTTTAGGTATATAATGGTTAATTATGGCCACTAAATATATATTTGCAGATTCGAAGCGGTTCTTCGAATCGGTTATGTAACAGCGAATAAATACAGAAAAACACGGTCACGATGCTGCTAAAACTACACTCGCTTCAATTCTCATTACGATCAGAGTACATCTCCACCGTGAAGTATTTACTGTAATTACACGATAAACCTGCTTACGAAGCCAATAATTCTGACGTCTACTTATGCAACTTAAGACATATATATACGCACATAGTAATGGCTGCAATTCGTAAAACCGTATACCTCGGATTGACTTGGAATTTTGTATATTATAGGGGCGGTGAGCGATGACCACGAATTTGATTATGAAAATGCTCGCAAGTGTCTCCAAGTATCGGATTGGCTTGAAATTTTGTATATTACAGGGGTTCTTCGGTGCCATGACCACGAATTTGGTCATGAAAATGCCCGCAAGTGCCCCTAAGCATCCTCAAATGAGGTAAATATTAAGGACATTCAAATTTGTTACCACATCATAATTATATAGTCGTCAGCCTCCTCTTCTAACTCTATCTTGAGTCAACCTTTGCAAGATTCCCTGTTTGTAAACAACCGTTTTATCAGGCTCTAACTCCTGTTTCTGCTTCTAATATGCCTCTGAATTAGCTTCCCATATCCGTCCGTCGAAGGCGTCCCTTCTTACCTATTTCTTATAGACTCCCAATCAATAAAATGATAATTATACGGTTTTCCTTATGGTGTTGTATAAGTTTGTAAAGGTACATTTTCTTTCATTTGATTGCTTATGGTTTAAGGTAAGGTAGGAAAAGGCAACACAAACGAAGTGTAATGTCTCTCCAAAGTAATCCGACGTACGCGGATTTCGGACGAATATCATAAATATAAAGATAATTCACTTGAGGGTGTCGGTAGGTAATTTAATTTAATTATCCTTAATTCAACTAGTACGGTAGTTACTAAAATCAACTTTAGTCATAGTTATTTAAACAATTTTTTTCGAAAACATGCTGGGATGAATTTCCTAATCAGTGAGCATTGATGCCGTCGAGATTTCAGACATCAGTTCAAATCTAACGCTTTATGCTAAAATTCTAGTCTCAAAAGTTCAGAAGAAGTGTAACTCCAAAATACCATTTATCAATTACTGTATAATATTCTTCAGAGTTATGATTCAAATGTATAAAGGATCGTCTGCATTTACGAATTTTCCTTATTTTCTAGCAGTTTTTGTATTTAAATTTAGAATCAAAACATCGAATGTTTACAATGTGACTGCAAAACACTTGTTGCTATTTTGTTTGTTAACAAAAACAACTGGTCGTTGAATATGTATGTATGTATGTACGTAATCAATTATTGATAAACAAAACATTTTTTGCTATTACCTACACCTACACAAGACAATCAACTGCAGTTAACAGGAAAATGACAGAACGTTTCAATTAGTGTCAATTACCTAATACTTCTTTAAAAAATGTCAAGAACTTCTATGTGGTGCAAATAAAGTTAATCTAAATCGATTTAAAAATGCTCTCGTAAAATTCAATACGTACAAGTACCTACTCGTATTTTCCTGAAAGGGAGTAATAAATTTTAATGGATGAGAATTTTACTACGTCAATCTTTGCTTTTGATCCCACCACTCAGTCTTGATGCTAACGGGAACGATATCCATCTTATTTTATAACTTACAATTAGTGACCCGCCCCAGCTTCGCAAGGGTGCAATGCTGATACTAAATATATTTTTGTTTTGTTTAGATTATTATCGAAAACGGGAAATCTTCAAAAGATACCCCCTGAACATACTAAATATACTACAGAATGTCTTTATATACAACATTCACAGTTTTTTTGTCATTAGACAATACAAACCGGCCTCCCGGCCGGTACCGCCGCAACCGCTATGTCCCTGCATTTTAAATCTGTAATATCTTCGAAAATATTCATTTAAATTACATGCTGTAAAGGGCCATATTGATCTATATTAAATGCACAATGTATTTAAGGTACTTAATTGGATAAGAATTAATGCTGTATTGCCTACAATCGCTTCGTAAATAAGTCATTATTTCTCATAAAAAGTAAAGGATAAAAATGGTTATTGTGGGTTATCCCTAAGAGATAGACATATACCATCGCGGACTTTTTTGTAGACCCTTTTAAGATGTACAATATTGTAGTACATTATTTTAATCTATCTCGTAGGGTTCAGTCAGCGTTTGCAATGTAAGCGCAAAAAATGTGTTTATTTACGACATCACATTAGAAACCTCTAAAATTATCAGTGTTTCCCTACTATATTATGCATGTATTATACATATAAACCTTCCTCTTGAATCACTCTATCTTTTAAAAAAAACCGCATCAAAATCCGTTGCGTAGTTTTAAAGATTTAAGCATACATAGGGACAGACAGCGGGAAAGCGACTTTGTTTTATACTATGTAGTGATTTCTTATTAACAGAAACATGCCCATAATACAACATTAATTACAAGCCTACACCATATTTTTTATAAATTTTCAGATTTTACACTGACCTAATAAGCAAGTGATTGCTCTCGTATGATATCATTTTTCATAAGGTTATAAATTAATTTTATTAAGAAATACTGCATGATTTTTTGCATCAAATATTGATTATTTGTATGGTAAAAGCAACCAAGCAGTAAATTTTCAAGACAGAAAGACAGATAGAAAGCGACAAGAAAATTGTTTACCGTTTCGAACACTTAATTAGCATGAACATATTGACTTGCCATAAACATAGAACGTTTTCCATTTTGCTATAAGTATATACGTGTTATTTACGTGCATGGCTGATTTATATTAAGGAACTTGCACAATAATAAGAGACAAAAACGTCCGATATGAGACACGCTGCAACCACAAACTGCTGTAAGTACCTACAACATGTACATAGGTAGATAAATGTGAGAAAGTGAAGTTGAACAACTACGGAAATCACTTTAGTGTTACGACAATAACATTTTTTATGACCTATATTTAATGCTAGTACTACAATCAAATCTATAAGAAATTCCAAGTGAACTCCTAAAGATGTATACACTTTTGGTTAGATATTATTTGAGTATTTAAAAAGGAATAATCCTTAAGAATCGTTGTGAAATATCAACGCATTTATGTCATTACAATATTTCTCTATGCCATCTCTACTTCGAGATACCCTATGTGTAGTACCACCTTAGGTACTCTCCAGTAATTTTTCGCTGAAAACTAGAAGATAGGCAAACGACAAAATGAGTAAAATTACCATTTTTAAGCGACAAATTATAATATTTTCAGTATTTCTATATACCATTTCTATTTCTCGAGGTACTCTATACGCAGTACCTTCTTGACGATTCTCCAGTCATTTTTCTATGAACAGCTAGAAGATAGACAAACAACAAAATGAACAAAACTAAAACAACAAAATGAGTAAAACTACCTATTTTCAGCGACAAATTATAACTTTTTCAGTATTTCTCTATATCATCTTTATTTCGAGGTACGCTATATGTAGTACCTACCACATTGGCGACTGTCCAGTCGTTTTACGTTGAACAGCTAGAAGATCGACACGACATAAAATGAGTAAAAGGTACCATTTCTCAGCGACAAATTATAACCTTTTCAGTATTTATGCCATTTCTATTTCGATGTACGCTATGTGTAGTACCACTTTGGCGATTCTCCAGTCGTTTTTCGTTGAACAGCTAGAAGACACGCGACAAAATGAGTGAAAGTACAATTTTTCAGTGACAAATTATAACCGCTACAGTATTTCTCCATTAAATTTCTATTTCAAGATGCGCTATGTATAATACCACCTTGGTAGTTCTCGAATCGTTTTTCGCTGAACAGCGACTAGGGACAAAATGAATAAAGGTACCATCTTCTAGCAACAAATTATAGATCCTTTTACAAATAAGAAATATAACTGCGATACTTGTATTACTATTTACTTTTTATTTTTCAATTATATAACAGAATTTTTTAATTTGCATCAAACTTGCTGGGCAAAGCCTTAGCTTTTAGTTCAGAAAAACGCGTTCCCTTTTGAAACTACCGAAAGAAAAGTTATAAAACTAGGAAATTGTTTTACGTATCTCGAATATTTGGATTTAGGGTTTTACAGATTTCTAACAATTTAGAATTATTAAATTCTGCAAAAATTTCACAGAAGTGATCTTTTACTAATTTAAACAACCCTCGACGTTTCTTGTTTCAAAGTAATTAAAAATTACATTCCACATACGATATTACACAGATGTTTTTTTCGATATT